GTTGGTAAGACAATATAAATGTTGCAAACTAGTTTTTTTTACTAACGCGTTCAACATATCATTTCAAAAACTATTTTGCACAAGTTTACAACATGTAATCAACAAGTTTGCAACACGATGTTGCAACCTTATAAGTTATTATCAATCAGGATGACTATGAACACTTTTTAAACATTTTTGTATCATAGAAGAAAACTGCTAGCCTAATCACTACATTTTTTTTTATCAGAACATTACACTGTTCAGCTTCCTGGAAAAGTTATCGACCTGATCAACTGGACTGGTAAAAAATGGATTTTTGCCTAAACTTTGTTTCTTAAAATATCTAAAATAAATTTGTTAAGAACCATTACAGTGTCTTTGCCACCAAGTTTTTTTTTTCCTTAAAGATGTTTTACCGGCTCAGTTTTGCAATGCAAATTGCAAACTGAATCAAAGTAACACATTATATAGCTCTATTGTGTGCGTGTTTCTTCACCTTTTAGCAACTTGATACTGATGTTAATTTTCAACCTGCTGTTCATAGTCACCCCTGTTGGTGGTACATGTTGTAAACTTGTAGCTGATGCAAAATATTAAAAACCTGTCAAAAGACAGATGAGCACGAGTGTGATTTTTACCAACAAATTTTGTCCTTGTGAAATGCATACAAGTTTTCAACATGTTCTCTCATTAAATGAGCAAACATGTTGCAAACTTGCTTGCACATAACTTAATTTTTTTAAAGTTTTAAAGTTGTATGCACTTAAGGACAAATCTAGTAAACTGTAAATTTTTTTTTTTGCCTGACAACTTTCTATTTCTAAACTGTAAATAAAGTTTAATAATTTTTATATATAGTATTTCGCTTGTGGCTTTGTATTTTTTTTTTTTTTTTTGCAGTTTACAACATAAGCTTTAAAAAATAAAAGATCAAATACCAATATAAAGGAATATAGACATTCGAGAGGAGAATAAAGATACTAAATAACTAGTAATGTCTTGAAATTTAGTTAATAGAATGATTTTTATTTCTATTATAAGTATTTAACTAATTTAATGTTTTAATACATATTTCAATAACATTTATAATAACTTGCTAAATGTTTTAAAAAAATAATAAATAACCAACTTGCTACAAAAACAGATTGATCGATTTTGGGTATATTCTAAAGACCATTATGTATATAAATACAGTGTTTACAAGAGTAATTACAGTATTAAGGTTGCACTTGCTGATAATAAAGCATTTATAAGTGTTAAAATCAGAGTTATCAGTTGTAAAATAGGTCATTTTAAAAAAAACCCAAATATATTTTGGGTTTTTTTGGGTTTTATTGGGTTTTTTTAAGGTGGGTTTTTTTGGGTTTTTTTGGATTGGGTTTTTTTGGGGTGGGTTTTTTTGCCAACCCTGGGTTCGAGGCTGGTTAGCAGAATTTTTCTGCTTACCCCTAAAGTCTTTGCCTAGGAGGCCTTCTACAAGACAGTAGCAGGATGCAGTTGACATCTGCCCAAGATGAGTATTTTTATCGAGACACCATCTCTAGCCTTTACTCAACCAAGAGCCCCAAGGCAGGGGATGTTTAGCTGGATGCAGTTAACATCTGCCCAAGATGAGTGTTTTTATCGAGACACCATCTCTAGCCTTTACTTAACCAAGAGCCCCAAGGAAGGGGAATTTTTAGTTGGAGTTTATTTCTCCTAGCCTTTGTCTAAGAAGAGCACACTCTGCAAGCCAGCAGGGCTTGTGGCAGGTGGTACTGGGTTACGTGATACCAGTAGCAAGATTGATCTTGATTATCCTGACCTGACCTGGAGTAGTTAAAAGGAGTTACTTCCCGCAACAGTACTTTGAGAAAACCAGGCATGACATTTTGGAAGTACATTAGGAAAAACACTGCATCTAACAAAATACAGGAGTCTAAGGTGAGTGTAGGTTTTGTAGTTGGAGTAAGTAGTTAGTTACTGAGCTCACGCTGCATTAGAGTATAAACAGAACACAAACAAACATAAATCAACTTACGGGTGAGTCAACACCGCGCCAGAGGTTCAGACAGAACACAAACATACATAAAAAACATAAAGTAACTTTTGGGTAAGCGAACACCGCGCCAGAGGTTCAGACAGAACACAAACATACATAAAAAAACATAAAAAACATAAACATAAACATAAAGTAACTTACGGGTGAGCGAACACCGCGCCAGATGCTCAGACAGAACACAAACATACATATAACGTAGATTGCAAATCCTGCAAGGCAGCAGAACATGGAACAGGTTGCACTGGGTTACATGTTACCAGTAGCAGGATGATCATGAAGACCATACTCCTGACCTGACCTTAAAAGTAATAATATGATCTAAAATAAAATATAAAAGTAGTAATATGATCTAATATATATATAAAAAGGTTATAATTAATATATATATATATATATATATATATATATATATATATATATATATATATATATATATATATATATATATATATATTGTTTTAAATAAAAAATGTTCATGATTTTGACGTCTCTGTTTTTTTAATTATTTTTTAAGGACATTAACTTTTTTTAAACTACCACGATAAAATAAATTACCGCAAAACAAGTTTATTTTACTAATAAGGAAGAACAATTTTTGTAAATGTACATATTGTTTAATGTTTATTTTTTTTCAATTTTTTTTTACAATTTTAAATAATTAAATTTACTTTTTTTATTATCATTTAACATAAATTATTTCTTACTTTTCTCTAGATTTTTATAAATGAATTAAAATATGTTATTATTTTTTTTCATTGTTTCTTAAAATTGTCGTTTCACAAATAATGATTTTTATACTTTTAAAAAGTTATTAACAAATAAAAAATATTGTTGCAAAGAAAAAAACCAAGATTTAAATTTTCAAGTATCATTTATTTAAAAATACATGCCATTGCGCTTTCACTTGCCTTAAAGGGATCCCAAACCTCGAGACATGTTGTGTTCATATTAAGGAGAATGATTTAAAAAAAAAAATGTTTGGACTAAATTTTTTTTATTATGACATAAGAATTTTCTTGGTATGTTAAATTTTTTACTAAAATAAAAAATTTAGCATACCAAGAAAAGCTAATTTTTTTTTTTTAGTCAAAGCTTGTCTTCTCCGTTTAGTTGTAGGTCAAAATGTCAGCATAATATACACCCCAATCTAAAGACTTGATAATTTATTCAAGAGCATTTTTTTCCTAAGAGTTTCAGTACATGGTGTCATTGATTTTTTTTGCTTGGATAAGAGATTGATTATGTAAACAAATAAAAAAGTCAATGACATCATGTACTAAAACTCTTAGGAATAAAATGCACTCGAATAAATTATCAAGTCTGTAGATTGTGCCATATATTATACTGACTTTTTGGCATTCAACAAAATGGAGAAGGTGAGCTTAAATGAAAATTAAAAAAATTAATTTTTCTTAATATGCATTTATTCTTTTGTTTTAATCAAAAATAAATTTAGCCCAAACATTTTTTTTTTAAATCATTTCCTTTAATATGAACACATGTCTCAGAGATTTGGGATTCCTTTAAGACAAAAAAGTTTAACGTATGCTTTGTATTTTTGATGCAGTGTTATAAGTTATAAAATGTTTACAAAGAATTTAGTTTTTTGTAAAAAATAGAAAAGGAGGAAGAAAAACCAAGAAACCTAAAACTAAATTTTTTTAATTTAAATAACTTTTTTTATCAAAATTCTTTCTTAATTATATGGAAATTCCTGTTTTTACTTTTTTAATATCACACAATCTGTTGTTTATATAAAGTTGTTATTTATACAAAGCTGAACTATTATAAAATATTACTTTTTTAAATTATTATTTTTCACAAAATAAAACTTATAAATATAAATGAAGACATTGCAAGATCTATATTGCTTCAAGAGTAAACTCAAGCAAAAAATAATAATAATAGAGTTATATTCATTAAATAAGTTTTTTTTTTTTTTAATTATAAAAAAAAAACTCTTTATAAGATGTTGTTTAAAGTTTGTAATAATTAATGTTTTTTTTTTATTTCTTGATAAAATAAAAAACATTTTGTATAAAATCATTATACATTTGTTTGCTATGATTTTATTTTTAATGGGCCTATACATTTTTTTTTTTTTCTTTACTGAAAAAAAATGTTTACTGGAAAAGCTATGTTGATAAAAATAAAATGTTCTTTGTTTTCTTCTTAAATTATTACATTTGTAAATAGCGGGAATATCAAATGTAATGCAAACTTTTGTATGTAATCACCATTCAAACTTCATAAGTAGTTTTTATAACATTAATTACTTCTTTTATCTCATCTCTTATTTAAATATTTAAAAATGATAAAAAATGGCTTACGTGAAATGGCTTACCACTTAATAATACTGGGTTACAATGTACGTAAATGGCATGCCAGTTTACGTTTTAAAACAAGGCTTGATATATATGTGTATATATATATATATATATATATATATATATATATATATATATATATATATATATATGTATTCAACCCTCGGAATGAGGGAAAATGAGTTTGCCAAAAAATTACTGACCTCAAACTGTTAGAGGTTGGCAAAAAAAATTTACTGAAAGGGGTTACCATAAAACATAAAAACAAGATCAACAATTTTTGTGACCTCAATACTTTAAGGTTGGCATTGCTGAATGCCGACCCTAATTGCAAGGGTTGTATATTTTATGTATGTTTAAATCATATATTTAGCATATGCTTACATTAAAAAATTGTTTTTAAATAATTGTGAAAAGCAAAAACCTTCTAGTTTTTTAATTAAATATTGATTTAATTAAATATTCATATTTAGTATAACTGGTTTTTTTATGTTATTAACTTTTCTTACTTTGTTGAAGCATAGTTTGCTTTTATGCTATTGACTTGCGAGCATAACTAGCTTTTTTTATGTTAATTTTCCGGAATATTATTTTTATTTATTTTATATGTCGTCAGAGCTAAATAATATTTTGTTGATCTTCAAAATTAGTTTGAAGAGGCAGTTCGTGAAATTCTGGAAGAGATAACGAAACCTAGATCTGCCGATCAAGAAGAGATTCAAGATGTTCAGATAACTCTTCGTTCAGAATCTCATCCTATGAGTATAAGGAGCATGACTGTAAGTTATCAGAATAAAAATTTAGTTGCCTTAAAAGTATAAACAGTGTTTTTTTTATATCAATACAATCTTATATAATTTTATCAATTTAAATGTCTTTTATAATTGTTTTATTAATTTTTTTATGGTTATTTTCTAACTTAATTTTATTATTTGAGTCAGAATTGTGAATTTTTAGTCCATTATTTTTTGTTAAGTAAGAAATTTATTATAAAATATATTATATATTAAAAGTATAGATATGTTAGGTACCTGATTATATATTACATGTGCTGTGGAAAAGTAGTTGTGACTTTTAGCCTGAAATCATAGTAGCCAGCCAAGTTTTCATTATGCTTATCACTTAGCCATGTTTCTGCAGCAGCTTCTTGTTCGATGCTTAAAGATTTTCTTAAAATTAAAGAAAATTATATTCCTGTTTTATATTTTATAAATGAGAAATGTAAATCCTAAATGGATATTTTTTCAGGGATTATACTTTTTCTGATATTTCCGGAATTCTGGATATTTTTTTCTGCTTTTAGTTTTTCTGGATATTCAAAACATTTTCTATACCTGCAGGTTAGGGTATAAATTTTTTTATATATATTTATTTTTTAAGCATTTTCACTTATCACACATAGAAAAATAGTTTGAAAAGAAAATTAGAAACCACTCAGCTGAAAGCAAAATTAAAAGGAAAATCAGGGAAAATATATTCCTGATTTTTTCTGTATAGTTTACCCAAACAATTTTCCAGGTTTTAAAAATATAACCTGGGTGATCTATGCTATTTATTAGTCATATTGTGTTAGTAATCTTGAATAGGCGTTGCTGTGTTTTATAAATTATATAAGTTAAAATAATATAATTAAACTCTGTTCTTTCAATTTTAGGGAATCACCTATAAATGTAAACATTTTTTAAATATATATGCAAATTTTTAACAGTATATCGAAGCCATAGTTTACAATATTTTATTAAATAATAATTTTATTTTACATATCTACTTTGTTTCACAATTCTCAAGTTAAATTTGAAATTTTTTAGCTTCTCAGAAAATTGCAGCATTATCTATTATTTTCTTGATATTATGTTTATATCATTTTCATGCTTTTCTATAATATCACGGTAGTGGTTATAATTTTTAGTATAGGTCTATAAGCTGTCTACTTGATAGTTCTAACATGTATCATTAGGAAGTTTTATACAAAATTTCTTGTTGATATCATATAAAAAACTTATCTTGTCTTTTGCATTTTACTTTGTCTGTGTTTTGTGATATCTTAAGCTCTTATTTCTTAAAACTGTCAATCTTAAAAAAATGAACTGCAACAATTAGTAACAAGTACTATATTTTAGTTAAGTCTCAAAATGGCAGGCAGACATCTGTCTTAATTTTATCAAAATAGTTGCTGTATTGCCTGATCACTTTTTTAGAGCGCTGTTTTTAGTCAGAATGAATGTGCAAAAAACTGGAATTAATTTTTTCGATTCTTCCTCAAAAAACTGGTTATTCAGTTTAGAACGTAATAACTTTTGATGCAAATTAAGACAGGCAAGTGCAGGCAGCTTTCTTTGTGGATGCTTACAGTGCAATGAGCTGTTTATGAAACTAAAATTATATGACATGAATTATAAGAAATAGTTGATGTACTTTTGGCTAATTTGAAATGACTGGCGTATCTTGCTAAATTATCAGTAAAGTCAAAAAAGACAAAAAATTATTTAGTATGTTACTACAAAAGGTTGCACTACATTGCTAAGAATTGTTTATACGCAAAAAAAAGCGCATAAACTTAGCAACCACATTGCAAATTGTAATCTCCAAACAGTTTTTCAAATATGGTGGCAATGGACATGTGGATTTGAGATACTTAAAGATGCAGGGAAACGAGTGCATAAGCAAAGAATCTAAGTGACCTCGGTCTTAAACCAACAGTGGAATTAACGGATTATCTGTTATTCGTTTGAAAGATAATAGTCTGGTGGGGATAACGGTAGTGACAGCTTTGAACATGGGAAGTTGATATGAGTCTTGAAATAAGTTCTATTAAGTTATTGAGAAAATTTTTATATCTTCATCAGAAATAGAGAAGTTTGGAACTAGCTGATGCAGAATTTTTATTAACTTTATTTTTTTAAACGAAGATAAAGTTAAAAAATGGAATTAATATTCAAATGGAAATGGAAAGTTGGGACGAACCCAAATGGCTGTTTAATAAAGTTGTTCGATACGAGATACCAAAATAAACTAAAGTAGAAAATGAAATTCAGGATTGTGTCAAGCGGAAATGGTTACTTGAGTATGATGAAAACATGAGGGACCGCCCAAAAGAAAAATTCCCTTATGGCTTCGATCTGTTTTGCATTAGAGAGAAACTAACAGTTTCATCAAGTCATATACAAGAAATAAAGATGTATGCATTGGTAAGTTGAGAGAATGGAGAAGAATAGGAAACAAACTATCAATCACGGATCTATGCAAGGTTTATCTCCATTTAAAAATTTAGGAATACCTTAGGTCCTCCGCACTGTGGTATTTCATAACAAAATGTATTGTTAAAAAAAGCTTGGTTTTAGATTAAATGTTGCACCTAGGACTATGAAATCCGTTGTGAATGCCATTAATGACTAAGACACGTTGGTGAAGAATAAAAAAATCTTATTACAGGAGTGACAACTTTATTAATGAGAATGTGGTGAGTCTCGATTGTGTCTAGAGACTTGTTTAATGAGCGATGAAGGTAAACATTGGTGATGATGGAGTTGCTGTGTTGGGAATATATGAGCAAAAAGTTGCTAACAAATTAATAAGGTCTAGAAAATTAAGAAAATCACAAAAAAGTTAAGCAGGAAAGTAGTATTTTCAGTCTGTGGACAGTTGATGGGTCATTTAGAAAAAAATAGTTGTTAGTTTGACAAAGAGTTAGGATAATAAAGTTTGTGATAAGAACGTTGTGATAAGAAGTCTGTGCGGAGATTAATAGTTGCAAGCCAGTTTGTGGTTGTTGAGCTGTACATGGGATATAGCGAAAGGTATGGGCTAATGCAACTTTTTTAGCAATAGTTGCTGTTATTCAATTTGGTAATGCAACTGTGGAAGATGCAATATAGCTTCAAAAAAAAAGGTCTGAAATTCATTTAAGTATGGCATAGTTAGACGTGGTAAAGAGAGGAATAAGAAAGACATTTGTATATAAACTAGAGAAAGTAACAATTTTTAAATATTTTGCAGCAGTGTTCCACTGGATTTATAACACACTAACTGGTAATTTAAAATTGAAGTCAAAAGCAACTGGTGAAATATTGATGCAGAAAAGAATAAACGTGTTGTAATAACTAATAAAAGAATATGATATTAAAGTTGATGTAAATCTTGTTCTTTTTAAAAATAACTTAGCTGACGCATTAACTTGAGTTTGCAGTTTTAATGGTCAAAAAAAGTTGCTAAATGCGTAAATCAGGGATGCGGAGTCCCAAAAGGACTCCAGTTTTATATCTCTTTTTTTTCCAGATCATTAGTGTCTTAAAGCTCTAAACATGTTTGTTGAATTGTGATCTGCTATAAGAAAAAAATTCATGTGGTTTAATGACTTGGAACTTATTGTTTTTAAGCCCGGAGTCCCGGAGTCCTTGCTGCCATTATACCTAAGGATTCCTTGTTCAAAAAATGATTGTTCCTCTTGCCTAAAAGTCTTATTTTTTTTCCTAATAGTAATCTATAAACTTTTTTATATTTTTAGAGTTCCTGGATACAAAAAACTATGAAGAAGAAATTCTTTTGTGAATTTTGTGACTTTTGATACTCCGCATCCCTGGCATAAGTAAATAGATTTAGCGCCATTTCCAAGGATGAAATGTATTTTAAATGTTAAAGAAATTTAAACTTTTGAAGACTGCAATCAAACATATATTATTGAATGTGGACTTGAAAAAATGCATTGTGACGACAAATTTCAAGTTCATAAGGAAGTCTTGCTTTCTGCACAGTAAATCACAAGATATTTTTAAAAACCTAGAAAAGCAAACTTTGGTTTAAATCATATTTTATAAAATAAAACTTTGGTTTAAATCATATTTAACTAACAGCAATACATAATTTAACTTATAGGGTACCCCTGGGTTCTATTATAGCACCATTATTATTTTTACTTTATATAAATGACTTATAGTTATTTATATAAAGTAAAATTTATTTAATTTAAATTTATTATAAAAGTAGATTCAGCATCAAAAATATTAAATACAGATGACAAATAATATTTGTAAATGACACTAATTTTATTTTCACAATGATATTATTGTTCTTTTTTAATTATTTAATGAAGAATTAAATAAGATCGACGAGTGGTTTATAAGTAACCAATTTACATTAAATGTATATAAAACGAAGTTTATCCTATTCCATAGACCTAGTGAAGCTGTTAATATTCCTCTCAAATTGCCCAGTCTTTTAATCAATAGCATAATGATTAATAGAGAATTGACTATAGACTTGAAGTGCTTTTAGATGAAAAATCTCACAAAGTATTTCCATGTTATATTGAAGAAAATCATTTATTAACAATAAATATTTAAAATATATACTTTTTTGTTTATACACAGACTTTTTTACTGTAATGTTGCCTGGGGTAGTACTAATAACAAAAAACTTAAAAAAATTAATAGCAAAAAAACAAACATGTACAAATATTTGGACAAATAGGAATGCACATTGCAAACCTCTCTTATGTCAGCTCAGAGCTTTAAATATTTATAAGATTAATATTCATCAAGTAATATCATCAAGTAAATTATATCATAATGTATATCATCAAGTAATGTATATCATCAAGTAATGTATATCATCAAGTAATGTATATCATAATGTATATCATCAAGTAATGTATATCATCAAGTAATGTATATCATAATGTATATCATCAAGTAATGTATATCATAATGTATATCATCAAGTAATGTATATGTTATATCATAATATTATTTATGTTCTATGGCAAAAAGAGTACTTCCTCTCTCCACTACCATTTCAATCTTACTTTAATGAAATCTCATAAATATTCTACTAAATTTTCAGTGAACAATTTTGTCATTCCCATAAACCATCTTAAATTAAGCTCATACTAAATTCAATATCAGGGACCTTTTTTTTGGAACAATTTTAATTATATTTTTAATGAAAAACGAGACTTCGTTTGCACTTTAGAGAGTTTTAAGACTGCACTTAAGAGAGTTTTAAGACTGATTTAAAGCGGCATTTACTGAACATGGATTTCAATATACAAGATTTTAAATATCTTTTTTGAAAACAATTTAAAATATTTTGAATTAAATAAATTATTTAAAATTATTGAATTTTCTTTAGCTTTTCTTACTGTGTTCTTTTTTTGTTTTATGTTTTTGTAATGAGCAATAAATACTTATATAAATTCATTATTTTTAATAGAACTTAACGCAACTTTTTGTGATTTATAGCTTTCATGATTATCTCACTTTTGTCTTATTTTATTTTTTTAAATTATTGCACTGGAAGATAGTGAGCAAAAATTTATCTTTTTGCTGAAGTTTTGTATGTACTTATACTGTTTTACGTATCACTTATTAGTTATGTAAATTTTTATGTAATGGGGGTTGGTAATAAGTCAAGTTTGTCTTCTTGCTCTCAAAAATAACATAAGGGTACAATGATCCCTCATGCTACGCAAGTTCTGTCAAATTAGGGCGCATTGTCCCTCATGTTACGGAGTTTCTGTAACATGAGGGACAATTAAAAAGAAAAGATAACATGAGGGGCAAAATGTAACATGAGGGTTTGAAACGTAATGCCAGGATCATTGAAAGATAGCATGGGGATGTCACAACTACTACTGCTGTTGCTACTACTACTACTACTACTACTACTACTACTACTACTACTACTACTACTATACTACTACTACTACTACTACTACTACTACTACTACTACTACTACTACCACTACCTCTACATTTAGTTTGAATTTATTTCCACTTTCTTTTTTCTTCAATGGATGTGATCAACTCTGTGTCAAAATGTAGAAGTTAATCTATTAAATTATTTATGTATTGTTTATAAATTGTTATATGGCACTAAGTTCTTATTATTTTAGTCAGAACATGTATCAAAACTTGTAAAAGTCCCTGGTATAATAATAAGTGCATCTGCTATGAGAGTTAAAGCTACACGAATTACAATTCAATGTCGAAGCTGCCGTAATACTTTACCAAACATTGGTCTTAAGCCTGGTTTAGAAGGGTATGCTATGCCAAGAAATTGCCCCTCTGATCAAACATCAAAGCCTGCTCCTTGTCCGATGGATCCTTTTTTTATTCTGCCTGACAAATGCAAGTGTGTAGACTTTCAGGTAAGCAAAAATCTCTTATACTTACATAAAAAGTAATAAAAAGCCTTAATACTTAGTGGCGTAGTTTTTTTACAGTTTAGTTTTTTTTCAGTGTTTTTTTTTCTTCGCATTCCTTCTTATAGATTGTTAGTTAACCCTACCTTAACATGAAAAAATTTATTTAAAGTTATGGTACTGCACCAAAGTTGGGAATTAATAAGACTTATACGTTGTTAAGGTTACCAAAATTTTAAAAAATACACATTTTTATTTATATTTATATTTTTTGTAATAACTTTAACAGATCTAATATTATAGTTCTAAAGCTCTAAATTAGCTACATAGAATCAATAATGATTTAATTTATAAGGCTTTAAAATTGAGTCTTGCATAACAAATTTTACTGAAGAACTCTCAGTAGTTTTTTTTGGTGATTATTTGTGTGAAAACCTTTTAAATTGTCATATTTACCATATCCTCGTATTTAATCTTTAGGCTAATTAAAAATTTTTTATCTACAAATTTTTCTAGTTTTCAAATATTTTGTTTATTGAAAACTCAAAACTTTGTTTTCATGTATATTTTTTGGAGTATTTATTTCTTAATATTATTTTGAATTTTTTAATATTATTTTTTTATCTGATTCTTACTTATTGATTGCTTATGAGAATTAAACTATATTTCAGTCTTTATATGTATGTATGTATGTATATATATATATAGAGGCTTCGGCAGGAATGACGGGCTATAGCCCGTGTCCGTCTCCGCACCCGTCTAAGTCAGTTTAGACGGGCGAAATAAAGCCCGTCTGAAACATAAGTTTTGTATAAAAAAAAAAGATGAATATTTTGATGTTTTTTTATTAAGATACTCTTTTAAAACTTCTCTCATGACATAATTTTAATATGGATAGCAAACTCCAACTTATAATTGTTTATATTTAAATATAAAAATTAAACAATTTAATCATTATTGTATAACATGATGTAGAAAATAATATAACTAAATCTTACAGTTTTTAAACGACGATAACTGTTTGATATAATACCAAACAGTTACCATATTATGTTCAAAATTTAATAACTATTATATTAAATAGGGAAATATACACATGTGATGCACAAGAAGTATCATGTTGTTTTGGTTTTTCAATGTTTATAATAATAACGATAATAAACTAATTATCCATGTATTTCGCTTTTTTCCGATAAACTAGTTTGTCTTACTTTAAAGACATTTAAAGTGATATTTCCGCGTTAACTTCCGCGTTAACTTCACGTTTTTTCTTAAAGAGACGGCAGTTTATTTAATATGCAATTATACAACTCGTTATTGAAAATGAAATATCTCATTAAAAATCAACAAACGTCTAATCAATTTTTGTAGATAATATAAATAGTGTTGCTTTATAGTTATGAAGTTATTCAAGTTATCCAGTCATTCAAGTTTTTCAAGTTATTCAAGTTTTTCAGTAAAGATAGTAATGGCATCATCTGGTAGAAGAGTTACATTAGCAACATTTTTGATATATATATATATATATATATATATATATATATATATATATATATATATATATATATATATATATATATATATATATATCAGGCCTTGTGATGAATAAAAACTGCGCGACGCATAAGCACGACGTGATTTTTGACGTCATTAAATTCTTTTTATTTGCTTTTTATATTTATCGACATTAACTGCACCAATTTACTTAATTACCGCAAAACTACTTTAAATCATTAATGTAGAAATGTTATTATTTTAAAATGTTTTGGAATGTTTCGTTTTTTAAAAATGTAAAAACATTGGTTTATTTTCTCGACGTTTGACGCGTTTTGTCTACTAAACAAATAAAAAACATAACTAAACATTTAAAAAAAGATTATAAAATATGCTAATATTTGATTTTCTCAAATATTGTAATTTAAAGTTTTTCAAATAATTATTTTTTCTTTTTAAAAAGTCAGCGATTAATAAACTGGAAATTTTAATATTGTACAATTAAAAACTGTGCAATAGCTAATATTTTTACTAGTGATTTTATATAATATTTTTTTATTTATTTTCATAAAGCGGTTGATAAGTACTATCACTCATATTACTAAAAAACTTTAATGAACGTTTTGAATAGATTTTTTATGTTTACAAGGAATTTTATTTTTGGTAAAATAAAATGAAATGTTAGAATAAAAATCTTATAGGTACAAAAGACATATTTCAGCGAAAAAATTATTATTAAAAATTATTCGAAAAACTATTGACGTTCTATTTTTCAGCAGCTGTTTTTGAGCACGCTTCGTTGAGTTTCAGTAACTTTTAACAAAAAAGCGATTGTTATTATTTAAGTAATTTTTTTCGAGTTATTTAATACAAAAATTTTAATAGCTAATAATTTTAATAGAATATGTTTTGATATTAATCCTTTTTTTTTTTTTATTTACGCTTACCAATTTTTAAAACGTTTCCTCGAAAAAACTCTTAAATACTTTAAGAGTAATTATAGAGTTAATAAATATTTTTATAAATATTAATTAAGTTAATAAATATTTTTAAATCTATGGAATAATTTTAAAACCTAACAAACCCCCGTAAAATAATTATTTAAGTTAAAAATCTAAAACTAAAAGAAAGTATTTTTGTTCAATTTTATCGACAACTTTGCTATTGCTGAATATTTTTATTAAAATGTTAGCTTAAAAGATTTAAACTTTTTTTTTAATCTGAATTTTTTCTACTTGTAAATAATGAGCATATATAATTTTTTTGTAATTCAAACTTTTATATCAACTGCGTGCGGTTTTTAAAATACTTTAATAAATGTTAAAATAATCGTAAATTACTTCATTAAAATTCCGCTCAAAAATATCTTTAAATATACTCAAGCAAAAAATTTTTTGCTCGACGCAAATAGCCCTAGCTACACGCAAAATTGGCATTCCTATATTGACGAATAACAACCCTCTTACTCTCAGACAAAGTCTAAAAGTGCATTGTAAATGTAATTAGACCTGCTTTATCTTCCAAGCTTGAGTTACTCTCCCATTGTTGTAAGGTTGCATTTCTTTCTTTTTTCTACAAATACTATCTTGGTCAATGCTCAAACAAGCCAACATCTCTATTATGATAAACCAAAACTCATTCTTGCTTGGCTTCAACAAGTTGTATCCTTTTACTGTATATGTCCCTTATTGCTATAAAAACTTTTATTAATCCAGTTTTTTTCCTTGCACATCAAAAAAATCTTATAACTCCTACTCATCTTCATGTTTTTCTTTTTTATACAACCAACAACTTCAAGTCTTCAGTTAACCATTTCCTAGTATTTTAAGTTATTCTCTATTTTAAGGGAAGTCATAACTTAATAGCGGTTGCTTGCAATCTTGTTGGAAAAAGTTTTTAGTTTAAAAATTTATGCCAGTATTTATTAAATAGTAAAAATAAGTATAAAATTATAATATATAAAGTATTATGAATTTTTTTCTAGCCCCGGTTATCAAACCCTACTAAATCTTATATATTTTTGCCGGGGCCAGGGCTGGGTTTGCAAAAAGTCCCATTTTTAGCCGGGCCTGGGGCCCGCGTCACTTCCTAATAATAGTAGCAAAACTTGTAATATTTCATTTTTAAAAAAAAGCTAATTAAAATTAATAAAAATAAAATCAGCTTTATTTGAAGCAGTTAAATTTTTACAGAATGAAGAAAGTTTGCATTAGTCAAATATTCTATTCGATCCACCCTAATACTATAAGAAAAGTTAATGTAGTTGAAGTTTTATATGTTCCAGATATTATATTTAGAGCATATGAGTACTTTGCTATACGACAAAACGTATACAAAATTTTTGTGTTGATAATAAATTGCAAAGTGTTCAGACTTAAACACAATTGACTTCAAAATTAAGCTCAATGGAGGACCTAAATTTCATAAATAGTATTTTTATGAATTTAGATTCATTGAAAAAAACTTTTCAATGGATCTAAATTCAAGATTTATGTCAAAGCTTCATTACTTTACCAAAGAGATGCTTTGTTTGGTCATGCAGTTTATTACCCTGAAAAGTTAGCTCAAACAATTTTATCATTTATGATTAAATATATTTTTTTAAAGGTCTTTTGGAGATTCCTATTTGAATTTATATGTAAAGTCAACCATGTAAATTAACGAATATTTGAAATGCTTAAAACAGTTGATAGTAAACCATGGTTAAAAATATCAGGTATATATTTATTATATAATTATATGCATCTCTTAAAATCTATACAAAACAATTGGTTGACAGAAAAGACTTGTGAGGTCCAATTTTACACAATAGTGTATCGTTTTGATGGCATTGAATTGTTTGTTTGTCTGAGTATCAATCCCACAATCATTTGCTTTTTCAAGAAATCCTATTGTTTTTGTGCAATGTTTGTCCAAATATCAATTCTACAATGCCTTAAACTTGAAAAATATTTATTTTTAGAACACTAACTTTAAGGTTGTGAATTAGCTTGGGCCAAGTGGAGTGATTCTGAAACTTTATACATAACTGTGTTTTGTATAAAGTGCAATAGTCTTTTTTAACTCTCTAAACTTACAGCTAAATCAGTTGACCCAAAACCAATAGAGAGACAGTCTGTTAAGTTTTGTTGTATGTTTTTTACATCCAGAGATTAAAAATAAGGCATTTGAAAGTACTGCTGTGTTTAATAAAAAAACTATTTCTTTTTGGAATGTTATTAATGTCAAAGCACCTGGTGTTGGTATTCGGTTTAGAAATGAGTTATGTGGAGAAATCCTCTCAGTTGTTAATCAACAGTTATAATTGCTACGAGATATTGCTGAACTGTCAAATCTTATGAAACCTAACGGTAAGCAAGTAAACACAGCTTTTGCTTGGTACCAGCAATACAATAGCGCATACATGCTATGGCTTAATTGATCTGGTAGAAATGTTGTTCAGTATTAAAACAAAGTATGTTTTATTAGGTTTGTTTTCAACAGATCTACTTAAAAAAGCATTTTCTAAACTT